CTTTAATAGAAAAAATCAAACAATTCTGTTCATACATTCGTAAAATTAAGCGTTTCACAATTAGTGAACTATATTTTTTGTCAGAATCCACGTTTTCCAAGAAAATGGAGCGATTTCTATTTAATCTATTTAAACGGTGATCATAAGCAAGTACATAAATATACTCCCGAAAAAAGGGGATATAGAAAACTCTGTTGCCGAGCCCCCTCGAACTCTAAATATCTTTGAAATTTCTCCATTTGGATTGAAATTCGATTTTCACTAAAAGTCTTTATTTTCTTGAGTTCTGAAATGACACATAGTGCGATACAGTCAAAATAAGGTATTAAATTACGAAAGCAATAGATACCTTATAAACAGGTAGACTGCTAACCGGATTCTCTATTTTTAATAGGTTTCTGTTCGTTATATTATAGAATAACAAAACAAGATGATTAGAAATCCTTTATTTTTTTAACCTAATCGCTCTTTTGATTTTGGAAATATATATATATTTTTATCAATATACTGCTTCTTTTACACATCCATTTCCAACCTAACCCAAACGGACTAGGGAAAAAAATAATTAGGACTCATGAAAAAATTGATAATAACACGCAAGAAAAAAATCCCTTCCCATACCCGTATTAGGCACTAATCTATTTTTAACATTTAATTAGATCGGATAATTTTTCAAATTACGAATGGAAGCTCGTTTCTTTTTTTTTCCTGGAATCAGGAAAAATGGGTTTTTTATCCATCCATTTATATTTATTCACTCGACCCAAATTGGAATTCCTTTTTTTTGTCGACACTGAAAACAGGGTTGTACCGATCAGGAAATCAAAAAAAATTATCTGAATTCTCCCTTGATACGACATGCTATTTTTCCATTTATTCCTTTCAGGATCAGTCGTGGTCTTACAAACTCTACCGCAGATCTGGACGAATCATTTTCTTCATACAAATTTTAAAAGATGCTAGTTGCACTTAAAAGCCGAGTACTATACCGTTGAGTTAGCAACCCCCAAAAACAAAAAAAGAAAATACTGCAAATATGTAGATACAACCAGAATAAAGAAAAAAAAAAAAAAAAAAAATCCAGTCATGTGTGCGTCCGGGATAAATGGATCTATTTCTCTATGAGAGAATTATATTTGGTCGATACACTGTTGTCAATATGATTATTAATTTTTAATATAGCGAAAAGAATGTAAAAAAGAAATAAAAAAGATTAACCCCTTGGTTTGTTAGTTCATACAATGAATGAAAACTAAGCCAGGTAGGATAATCTCAGATATTTTTATACTTTTTTAAACCCATTTTGTATGGCCTTTAAATTTTTTATGAATAATGAATAAATTATTCATATAATAATATTAATTTTAATAATATTAATTTTATGAATATACATACATATTATTTTCTATACACTAAAATTTTGTATTTATACAAAAATTAGCATCCAAATTTTTTTTCATAAATTTGTTTATGATTATAAAACATAGTAGTTGTTAGCAGGGTATTTTTTAGTATTCTTACCTTAGGAAGAATACTAAAAATAAATAAAAATAAATATGATGGAAACGAAAGAGGAGGAAAGAAAAGAGTAGATAAAATTTTATACCAAGCTATATATGAGTCTTTCACATCCTCTTTTTTATATTTCATTAATTCAATTTCGTTTTATTAAGACTTAATTCCGTAAAAATCCCGGCCTTTTTTGAAATATCATGAACTGTTCTTGTTGGTTGAGCGCCTTTTTTAAGGAAATCGAGAATAGCAGGAAGATTTAAATAAGTTTGATTAGTTATTGGATCATAAAAACCCACTTTCCGAAGATCTTTTCCTTCTCTTCGGGATCGAACATCAATTGCAACAATTCGATAAACGGCTCATTGGGATAGATGTATATGAATAATACCCCCCTCTAGAAACGTATAAGAGGCTTTGGCCTCGTACGGCTCGAGAAAAAAATTCAATGAGTAGAAGTGAACTCTCTATATAAAATTAAAATATTAAATAGATTAATAAAAAAATTAAACCAATTAGACAGTATTGAAACCCTAAATATTTTTTTTTCATAAAAAGCATTCTTAACATTCGTACTCTCATAACTCAAGTTAAATAACTCTCAAATATCTCAACAGAGAATCCTTAAGTACTCTTTTTATTTTTTATTGAGTAGTCTCTAACCCTTTTTTGTTTGTCTCATTTTTTAGAATAAATGTTTATTCTTCATTCTGATCTAGTTGTTCAAACAATTGAAACTGGATTTCCTTGTTTCAGGATTTTTTATCCTTACTTTGAATCTTTGGGTTTAGACATGACTTCGGTGATCTTGAATCGTTTTATTAAAAAAGGGCAGCAACAAGCCCCTTATTTTGTTTATGATTTCTTTTATTTCTATCAAAGAATCATACAAACGCTTGATTCACGCATAATAGACTTTTGATTAAAATAATTTTACAATTTTAATAAAATTTCCTTTTATATTGTAAAATTACTTGAAAAGGGCTTTTTTCAATATAAAAATAAAAAGACTTATGAAGTTGTTCTAACTTATTGATTCGCACTAACCCTGGATCCTTACTCCTGTGAAAGGAATAAAAACTTTCTATTCTCCTCGAGCTCCATCCTGTACTCTTTTTTATATTCAAAAAAAGTGTAGGACTCTAGTAAAATAGAATACAAAATATCGAGCCAAGAGCACCTATATTCCTATATAAAAAGTGGCGGATAAAAAAATCCACAGCAGATCATGTCCTTCAATTTAAGTCGCACGTTGCTTTCTACCACATCGTTTTAAACGAAGTTTTACCATAACATTCCTCTAGTTTGTGTAATTGATTCAATTATGGAATCATGAATAGTCATAGTTCAGTCAGTATATCGTAATCTATACTTTTTCTTTCTCTATGAATGGAATAGTGAATTTACGCGTAAAGGGTTCAGTCAGAATTAAAATGAATCCCATATTAGATTGTATATATATATACAATAAAAATTTGAATATAACTCCATATTTATATATATAAATATATATACCTTTTTTTATTAAAACTCTTATAATCTGCGGTTCTACCTTACTTAACTTACCTGCATCATAAAAAAAAAAAAATAGATGCTTTTTGAATTCGGTTGAAATTATGAAAAATAAGTTGATTCTTCTTTTAATTTAAATTTTTTATTTTACAAATATTGGGTTTTTAAACAGAAAGAGAAAGATGGTGTACAAAGTCAATAGAAGATTGATTTCATAATGACTTTACTCTGGGACGGAAGGATTCGAACCTCCGAATAGCGGGACCAAAACCCGTTGCCTTACCGATTGGCTACGCCCCATTTCGATTTTTATTCAAGACTATTAAAAGAGTAATATTGCTACTGGTTGTTCGTCAATTCAATTTAAGACAAAATTAAATATAGATTACATTGGTGCTAGGGTTTTGACACGTCTAGATAGCAAATCAAACTGACTTTATTGATCATTACATAGAATTCAATTAAGATATTGTATGAAAATATTATTTCTTTAATTCTCATAAGAGAATAAAAGGATTTTTGATTGAGTAAATTCAAAAAGTCTTTTTAGACTATCTTAATTTATTTTTTCCTTATATAAAAAATAGATTAATAACTCAATCAAAATAAAATTATCCACAAGAACACCAATTTTTGTTATGCTTAATATATTTAATTTGATCTGTATTTGTTTTAATTCTGCCCTTTTTTCAAGCACTTTTTTAGTCGCCAAATTGCCAGAGGCCTACGACTTTTTGAATCCAATCGTAGATGTTATGCCCATAATACCGCTTTTCTTTCTTCTCTTAGCCTTTGTTTGGCAAGCAGCTGTAAGTTTTCGATGAAATTCTTAATACTGTCTTAGAAAAATTCATGATTTTTATTCTTCTACCAATTCAAAAGATCAAAAAAATCTTGACGTAGGAACGAACTATCAATTCAAACATTTTTTTTTTAAGAATCTAATTAGATTCGAGTTCACCAAAACAAATATCTAAATGTTGGTATGCAAATCTGTTTGAATATGAAAGACTCTACTATTATCTTATTACAAATGATTTGCTGAAACTTTTTTTTTATTTTTCTAGAAAAAAATAAACCACTGGATTTATTGGTATCAAAATTAGCTATTTGGTATAAAAATAGAGAATCTATTCTCTTTTTTTTTTGAAAAAAAAAGTAAGATCTTGGAGATTGTGTAATGCTTACTCTCAAACTTTTTGTATACACTGTAGTTATATTCTTTGTTTCTCTCTTCATATTTGGATTCCTATCTAATGATCCAGGACGTAATCCGGGACGTGAAGAATAAAAAAGAAAGGTTTTTTATTACTTATTTAATTAGTGGAAATGATCAAATTTTATTAGGATTTTACATCATCAAAAGTAGAAAGGAAAAGAGAGGGATTCGAACCCTCGGTACGATTAACTTGTACAATGGATTAGCAATCCAACGCTTTAGTCCACTCAGCCATCTCTCCTAATCGAAAAGTGATACTTAATTAGGTTCCGTTAGACAAAAAAAGACTTAAAAAACCTTCTACACTTTATTCTTAATTCTTAAAAAGCTATCTTTTTTTTGTTTTTGTATAGATTATTCTGTATTATTATTATATATATATATATATTTTCATTTTCTATATTTTATTATATATATATATAAATTATATATATATATAATTTTTTTATTATATAAATAATATATCATCTATTTATATATATAATTAATATATATAGTAATATATATATAACTTTATATAAGTTTTTTATTGAACTTTCTCAATAATTTTATATTACATAAAAAATGTAGATAAAGATTAGATAAAGAAAAGGCTCGAACTCGAAAGAGAAGTAAATAAAACCACAATAATAGAAATAGAAAATACTTTTTTGATTTTGTCTCGTCCAAACAGAAGTAAAAGACCTTTTTTATTTTAATAGCCTGGCCTGGTAAGTCCCCAACAGGGCCTTTTTTTGTTAAAGTAAAAAAAAAAAAG